ACTGAAACTTAAACTCTGGTTTAACTTTAAACTGTGCAATATTCATCCTGTCTGTGCAATACAATGATTCATGTGTAATCCATTCACAGTACATAATCTCACACTGTACTAAATCCTTCCTACTAGTATATGCTAGTCTTTATTTCCATTCATATTTTCCTACATTTCCTAAATGTAATAAGTATAATTATCCTTACATAAATAAAGCATTATTCAACTGAACTGAACTTTATTAAATTTCATTTTTATTTTGTCTCCATCTCGTGGTGAAAAACGTGTCCTCCTCTTCCAGGAAATGACGTCACTGAAGCGGCAACGCGTTGAAGAAATCAATGGAGAGTTTTGTTTTTTTTTCATTATGTCGCATTTAAAATATAAGACGAACAAATATTAATGTTTGTCCACTAACGGAGCCGAGACCGCGAGATAGTCCGACAGAATCCAGTCAGAGGACCTCGTTGAATCAGGTGAGGCGGGTTTTAATTCACTCGGCTGCAGCTAGTTGGACGGCTAGCTCCGGGGCTAGCTAACTAGCTCGCTCTCTGTATGGGTTTTCATTGTTTAGCCTAGCATGTGTGGCTACATCGGTTAGCTTCCCTCTCTCAGTCATGTGTTCTCGTCTTTAGCATCTTTAAGATTAAAACGAGCAGAGTTGACGTGAGATCATCGTGTCGACACTATTTACTACTTGCTAGTTTAATACTGACAGTGGTGGGGTTGTATTCGCCGGAGAACTACACTTAGAGCACGAGTTCGAGGTATTTGTACTGTAGTTGTGTATATTTTATTTCTCTTCCTGTTTACATTTCAGTACTTTTTTTTTTTTTTTAAATAAAAATGTGAGACAGCTTTAGCTCCCAGTTATTTTACAGATCAGGATTTTACGTGCAAATAAATGACAAGCGTCCAATACATGATCATTTATTTTGAAGTAAACACAAGTAGATCTACAACCATGAGTCTACTGATGAATCACTGGGAAACTTTTAAGTATTTAAAGACTTTACATTTATTCTTTATGGCTGGAATATTTATTTATATATATATATAAGGTGCCATTGCTTCGTCTCAGGTTAAATTGTGAAGTGTATTGTCTGATTTGACCCCTTAAAAACAATCAATGAATGAAGTAAGAGGGGAAATACTATGCAGATTAAACTTAAACTTAAATATCAACTAGCTTTTGTATTCCTTCATATAATAATTTATAATCTTCTGGCTCGTACACATTACTGCCTTATCATATATAAGGTGCATTATGAAACACATATAAGTTTGTTTAAAACACGTGTGACATAAGAAATATTTACTTTTGATACTTGCTGATTATAGTTACACACTTATACCATTTTTAATGCAGGACTATTTTTACTGTATAGTAATCATACTTTTAGTCAAGTGAAGTGAATACGTCCTCCACCACTGGTTTGTAGTATTAGGTATTTGTGCTTTACTGAGCTCTCACCTTCATGTACTGATCTCAGTTATATCCCGTCCCCGACAGGTTTGTGCAGTGATGGCAGCTTCCTTACCTCAGAAGCCGGGGATGACGGGGATGCCCCCTCAGCAGCAGCAGCAGCCCCACCTGCCGCCCAGCGCTGCCTCGGCCCAGGGTCAACAGCCCATGCCCCCGCAAGGAGCCCTGAGAGAGATCTCCCCAGTGTTCCTCTGTCGGATTGGACAGGAGACCGTCCAGGATATTGTGACTCGCACCATGGAGATCTTCCAGATCACACGAGCCACGCAAGTAATGGATGTTGTCATTTGTCTAAGATGGTCAGCTAGAAATGTCTAAAACTAGTTTTACTTGACTGATGAAAGACGTTGTGTTTTTGATTTAGCTTCCTAACGGTGTGACTCAGAGTCAGGCCATGTACCAGGACCGCTTTGGGAAGCTGCAGGAACACCTGCGGCAGCTTGCCCTGCTCTTCCGAAAGCTCCGGCTCCTGTATGAACGCTGTGTGGAGATGACCTCTGACTTGCAGGAGGGGCCAGCAGAGGTTAGGAAGAAGCCATCAATTTTCTGCGGAGATAGCAGTTTGATTTATAGTCTTCTTCTTTGGGAATATATCCTTGTATTATAACGCTGTAGAGGAGACTTTGACTTTATCTGTCCTTTTATCTACACTCGGTTGTATAGAAACTTAAGAGGAGCCATTTAAAACTTGTTTGTATGTATCCTGGGTCTTCAGCTTGTGCCATACGTTGGAGAGGAGCTGGTTTCTGTCAGAGTGGAGCCCTGCGGTCCTGTTGTCAACCAGGAGAGAAAACAAGTTCTGGAGGTTTGTGTCTGCTTTCACTTTGTCTAAAGTAGAAATTAGAAGAGTTTATTCATGTATTTAATATATAAATGTGTCATTGATGTTGCAGTATGGTAGTAAGGTGAGCAGAGGCATGTTCCCACCATCCATACTGTTGTTTGATTACATAACAGTTCTTTTTTACATTTTTTATAATTATAATAGTATAAAAAACAGCGATACTTAGCTGTACTGAAAATTGTAAGACCTTCTTCATGTAAAGTCTGCACAAGACTCCTTCCAAAAGATAAGTAAACGCCTCTAGATGGCAGTGCTGGCATACACCAAAGTATTTGCTTGATGCAGCCAGAAACAAAACAAAAAAAAAAAAAGAAACCCACATCATTTGGAGCTTAGCGTCATTTTCAAAATCAGGGGGTTGTTTTCTTTTATTTCTTGTTTTTTATTTTTTTTACAAACATTAGACCCAATATTCTTGTGGGATAATGGTTTCAGGCAAAGTAGGAAATTGCTACAAGGCACCTTGGAGCAAACAGAGTAAAATTTTACTTGAGGCTGGTGAGCTTGTTTGTTTTACTAACAACATCAGTCCCAGGCCAGTGAAACGCAGCTGCGCTTTTACTCCTCCAGTCCTCCATTATCAGATTGAATTGACTCAACAAATCAGAGGGATGGCAAATATCTCACACACTGTTGTGTTAAACTGCAGAAGGTGCGTCAGAAGAACCAGGAGATGAAGGTTCTGATGGATCAGATGAGGAACCTGCTGTGGGACGTCAACGCCATGCTGACGCTCAGGAAATGACTTCATCAGATCTGCTTCTTTAAAGAGACAAACTCCTCCACGGCAGCACAGACTGCGTGATGGCATACAGCAGGTGAAATAAGGGAATTTCTGTTGGATTTTGGATATGGAACTTTCCACTTGGGTGCACCTCCTTTATGTTGGCACGTTGTCACAGACGACTCACAACTTCATGCGACATCTTTTGATGATGAAACTCTGGTGGGGAAAATGTTAATGAAATAGGATGGGGCATAAAGCTAGAAGAGGAAAGAGGCTTGTTTCAACCTGACATGCTCCTACTCAAAGAACTGTTCTTGTTTTTATACACAGCGGCCGACAACCTACGTTTTGATGCTAACATTTTGTCACGGTGTTTATTCCAATAAGTAACAGTCCTCTGTTTTCATAATATTTAATGAGTTGAAACCTGCGTCACCTCAGGTAAAAAAAACTTTTGTTAAAACACCATGTTCATGGTGCTGAGCCCCCAGGTTCTGACTTGACATCAGACAGACTTGAATTCTCTGCAGGTAATTTGTTCAGAAAGCCCAGATGCTGATGTGATGACGGTGTTTACAATAGGAACAATCGCCCTTATTATACTCTGCCGCTTGTAAAAACACTATGGGTTCAGAATTCAAATTAGCCCCTTGGCAGCTATGTATCTCAGGTGCTTTGTACATAAGTGTGTGTGTGTGTGTCTGTTTGTGTGTGTGTGTTTGTGTGTGCATGTGCTTAATGAGATTAGCTTCTTGAGAGTTTAGACAGCACACCTGTTTACCCTGAGGGTTCTGAGACTTTCTTGCTTGTGAATTTATTTTTGTAAACTGTGGGACTAAAGGTAGGCTTACTGCGTCTTTTCTGTTTTTAAAAAAAAAAATAAAACAAAGTTTGTCAACATGCACTTAAAAGTTTTTAAATATGCGATGGGCACAAATAACTAAGACGTGTGCTTGACTGCGGCAACTCCAACCCTGAGGGCTGATGTGAAAATGTGTATTGTTCATCATGACTGACATGATGTATAAGTACATCAAGGCGTATCCACCTACACATAATGATGCGTATTCTGACCCTGACCCTTTGTATTCATCTTTCTTTACACATCAACTGCTCCTACATTACATCCTGGCATCGCACATATACAGCAGACATGTAGCTGAGTGCTTTCAGATCTATGTAATCATTCTTTCTGACCAGAAACGTTTCATTCTGTCCAGAAAGAATCCAATCCCCTTTCATAGGAGTAGGGTTTAGATTATAACCTGCCTTCTTTTTGATACATGTGGAAATATCAGGTACGATCCTGGCAGATTTCTTTTTCTGTAAAAAAAATATATCATGAAGCTCAGTTTCCATCTTCTCCACTGAATGTATGTATGTCCTCCACTTATGTTAATGGAGGCTGTGTGTCAAGTGAGGAGAGGAAAAACTTGAACGATCTCAGGCACCTTGCCAGAGTTTGCATTTACAAACCATTTTATTGGTTTTACACTTAGCATTTTGACGTGAAATGATCAGTTTCCTTGGCAACAGTCCCTGCACAATAACGTTGAGAGACACATTGATAGCCAGAGTGCATGGCTGCAGTACCAGTCCCATAGGGGCTTCTGGCATGAGATAGGTTTTTCCTTCTTATTGTCACCGCAATAGCACTGAGGAGTGTTCACTCGTGTTCCTGCTGTCCAGTAGAGATTGTCCTTTCTCAGTGAGAGGCCCGTTCACAGGGACTCTCTCAAGGCCCCTGGATTTTGTCCTTTGTGGTCCTACCACACCCACAGAGGTGGAGAGAATCATTTGGATTCTCCTTTCAAACTGTAAAGGCCCTCTCTCTTCATTTCTAGATGTATATATTCCAGAACAGTCCACCTGGGTCTGCCTGATGATTGTCCATGATGCAGGCCATCTTCTCCACATCCCAGACAGTCCTTGAGTTCCACTTCTTGACTGCCCACCAGCGATCGGTCCAATTGTCTGTCCGAAAGGCCACTAGCCCAGACCTCCCATGTTCCCCCATTCTCTTTGTCACTTTCACGCCCTCTCCAGGTCTTTGTATTTCTTGCGAAGGACAGACACTTGATCTTTGAAGAGCACGGGGTCCAAGCGAAACTGAGAGTGAACCAGGGGCATGTAGCCAAACCAGTTGGCGAAGGTGTTGACGCACTCCTGCCGCTGGTTGAAGTGCTCGGGATTGGCCCAGGGGACGCTCTTCGCACCCTGAAAATAAAATAAAAAGACACCCTCAGCAACCATCCAGTCCTGACATCTGAGCAAGCAGCGTTTGCAGACTCGGGCGAGTAAGATGTACGGTCTACCCACCTGTGGACTTGGCAGCTCTTTGTACTGCTTCCTTTGAGCCACTTTGATCGGTGGCAGGTGAGTTACAGCAGAGACCAGGAAGTTCATCAGGATGTCCTCACAGTTGGACGTGCGATCCACCAGAGTCCGCAGAGACTGGGGCAGGTAGTGGGAGAACAGGTGGTGGTAGTATCTGTGGGGCAGGGGGCAGAATATGAGAAAGAAGTACAGTGTCTAGCTCCACCAAGGCCAAACAATCCTACGTGCGATTGTTTAGTTCTTATACTATAAATATAAAAGAAGAAATTGGAATTACTACTTGTCATTAAGCAAAGTGAGAAAATGTTCACATAGTTTTAACACAGGTTAAAATCGAACCTCCTTCATGGAGGTAAAAGTTAAATTATGGGCAACACATAAAGTTCGCTGCCTTCTTTGTTAGACAGATGTTTTTTTTTAAACACAACAAACAGACTTCATCGTTGAATGGCTCAACATTCGGTTTTACTGCCGACGTTTACCGCCCTCTGTTAGAACATTTTTCTGTTTCACTTCAGTAGAAAACCATCTGATAAAAGAGAATGTAAGTACTGGGTCAATAAAAGTTTTATCAGGACATCAAAAACCTGGTGACGTGAAAGTTTCTCGGAGCAGAAAAGGCACTCTCTGTTTTTCCTTGTTGTCAAAGGTTGTCTTGTTGTGTCTATTGTAGCCCCACGTTACGGCTCCTTATCATTCGTACAGTGCTGCCAGATGTCGGACGGTGACGTCTCAAATCAATACACGTTTTCTGCAACATTTATTCTGGAAAAAGCTTCTTGGCAGCAACCAGATCTACAGGATCACTGAGCGTTTCAAACGTCTTATATAGGCTCATCCTTAGCTAAACACAAAGTACTGGAATGTGTTAGAGAAAATAGGGTTTGACAAATTCATAAGCGGCTGGTTTCTCACCCTGCCACCGAATTTCTCTCCATTACACATTTTCACTGTTATTTCTCTGGCAGGATTATTTCCTCACATCTGTCGACACTGTGAAAACCTCGGTGCTCGGTCTCACTGTTACCACTGTCTCATCATAATTTCAGGCTTTTCCACTTGCACTCACAGAGTAAATCGACAGCGACAGGCGAACCTTGTGAACACCATAAATACAAAAGTGTATCACGCAGAATAAAGTGGAGGTCAGGAAACCAGCAGCTTTATGGTAACAGCCATGGAAACATCTACAGGGAAGAGCAGACGGTGTGATGTATGTTGATGATATGTATCTGGGACAGTTTAACTGTTTCACCACCAGTGGGGTTTGATATTCATAGAGCACAGCCAACCTGTGGTTTAATGCATATGTTCCCTTTTCCCTTGAGTTTTCAAGAGAGGAGTTTTATTGCAGGACTGTCACTTCAGAAATAGCGAGGTATATTTAAACTGACTACTCGCAGCTATTTTATGTTTAAGTGGTGAGACAGGACGTTTAAGGTAATGCTGATGAGTCTTAAAAAAAAAATACTGCTGGGCCTCACTTATGCAGTAAGTGCTTTTATTTTGTAGTAATTCACCTTATTTTGTATTTTATGCATGTTATTGCCTCTGTCAAGGACGTTCGGTTTTCACAGCTGTTTGTCAGCAGGACTGCTCAAAAACTACGGAACCTATTTTCACAGAAGATTGTCGCCCTGGCAGAGGAATGTGCTCTCAGATCATCCTTGTAGTTTTCTTTGATATTCATTTCTGTTTGATTCTTTTCAGGTGGTTAAAACAACCTTAGTTTTCATATATTTAATCATATGGTGTAGATTTTCACTCTTGTACTTCAGGTTCCTGTGTTTGTCTTTCTCCTTGAACAACAGAACTTGCTTCTTTCTTTGTTCTATCTTCTCATCTATTTTTTTCCACTAATGATGTTTGTCATCCACCAAACGCAAAAGTAAATTCCTCGTGTGTCGCAGTAGCAATCAGGAAATGGAGCCCTGGAAGCGAGGTCCTGCTGATTCGTGCTCTCTCAGTTGTCTGTCATGATGTTTCACTCTGTTTATTAGCATCAAAATTTAAATCTTACCGGTAAAATTAGCATTTGAACAAAGTTTGATGAGAACAACCGGACAGAAATCATCTCTGACAAAAAATTATTTGATGACCTCTTTGTTTGGTCCTTCCACTAACATGGACCTCGACTGCAGCCGGCCACCAGGGGGCAAACAAGAGGATCTGGCTTCACTGTTGGGAGTTTACATGATGTCCATCTTTACATACAGACTGTGGTCTAAAAATAGGTATCTGCATCCCTGCTTTTTATAAGTAAATAATTAAAACAAAGTACAGTGAATTATAAAATCACCAGTTAACCTTAACTTGAAGTACATTTTAAAAAAAGCCACAATGAGAAGCTCTTAATTGCGTTTGCTTTTTCTACAAAGTGTTGTTGAACCTGTGGTAGAAGGCGGCTCCGGTCAGAACGATGGAGTAGTCGTTGGTCCACTTAGAGGTGTAGCCCCAGGCGTGCTTCAGGGGGTCCCAGAAGTGGCTCCTGGGAGGGTAGCCCACGATCCGCTCGGGGAAACTCCGCCACACCAAGAAGGCAAAGTTCACCTACAAGTGCAGACACGAAAAACTTGGATATCGTTGCAACTTTTCCAGAAGTATTGATTTTCTTTTTGTGTGTGCAGAGCGCTGACACATACCTCGCTGGTCAGCAGGACCGTATCCTCGTCCAGACTCAGCACTGCCTCTGTCTCTATGGCAACGTGAGGTAGGAACCGACTGGTGGTCTGCGAGAGAAGTACAGTAATAAATCTTAGTTCTGCCACTGTAGGCTGTGTTGTCTGATGTGTGCTTGGAGAGATTTGGAGGGCGAGCGAGGGATGATCATGTTGCAGTAAATCATGTTGAGCGACTGAGATGAGTGAGAGTAGATGGAAAAAGAGACAGAGATAGTGAGAAGAAGATGGAGGATGAGTGACATTTATAAAAAGCAAACGCCCCATGGATCAGTGGACATGTCAGATGGAGAGGGGGGGGGAGAGAGAGACGTAGAAAAATAGACATCAAGGAGAAGAGACCAGTCGGAGATATGGAAGAATCGCAGACGCAGAAACAAACTGAGCAACTGACAGTTTGTCACTCAGACGTCAGCGTGGGCTTCAGTGTGAGCGGCGCCGGGCCTCACCTTCCTCCTGCCGTCTGTCACAGTGAGAGGGACCGGCATGGGAGGCCATTTGCTCCGACTCGGAGGCGGCTTCTCGCTGTTCCAGAGAATGATGATCTGCAGCAGCAGGGGAGGGAATTTAACACAACACGTACACAGATGCATCAGATTAATCAGAAATAACACGTTGACATCAATCAAAGGTGTTGGCAGAGGTCCGCCTCCTTAGTATGGCAGATCGTGTGTGTGCTACCTAAAGGTCTGTTTTCATCTGTGCTCCACTGCAACTTCACACAACCTTGACAAATTATACTTTGTTTGAAAGCTCTAGGTTTCCTGATTCTAAGTGTGTAAATCATTTTAGGATCAAATAACTGCAACAGCTGTCAACACAGACTTTGTTCAGACTTGTTGCTGTGGCTCCAGAGGAACCTCCAGGTCTTGTATTCCCCTCTTTTAATTGCAAAGGCAAGAAATACCGACATTTCTATCGGGTTTGTGTCTCAGTAACAGAGCTTCAGTTTCCTTTATACTCATCCTGACGTTTTGGTCGTAACATTTAAAGAGTCACATTTCAAAGAAGACCGGTGTTATGACTGTATTCAAACGGGTTGAAGAGCGATAACCTCTTTTATTTTGGGTACATTATTCTCTGAGTGGTGGGCTGTCTGGTGATTTCCCAAACTCTTAGCGTTTGTCTTATTTACCTGCGAGCAGTACTTTGACTTGGAGACCACCTGAAGCAGCTTCATGATTGGCTGAGACTGGGAGACCAATGGGGAGACGGCATGTATGACAGCAGTGAACTCCTGACCTGGACTGATCCCTGGGTGAGGTCACCAAAAAAAACAATGGGAGAAGAAATATATCAGAGTATTTATATATTATTCCATCGAAACAGTTTAAAGCCACTGTGTGTGTATTTTATGAATATGCATTTCTGGTGCAACGGATTCTGCTGAATCCAACTTTCCAGACTATACCTATATCTGAGCACACGGTCTAAAGTGCATTCAGTTCTTGTCCAAATCCACTTTTGCATATTTTAAAGGCAGAGGAAAAAGGTCTCTGTGCCAGGTGCACGGTTCAGAAAGGTTGTACTTAGTCTCGTAATTAATCATGGGTGTGTTCGGAGTGCAGTAAACCAGCCAGAGTGCCATCTCTCATTCCCTGTAATACCAGGTGTGCTTGCACCTTGGTGGATTGATATTATAATGTTGGGTTTGCAGGGTAGTAATGGAAAGAGCTTCTCTGCCGAGGAAACGATTTCACTTCAGGCGAGAGCAGACCATCTGTGAGTGTGACAAGCCGAGAGTGGGAGCTCGTGCACCTGCCTCTGTGGGCACATTTTACAACTACTACTATCTACATAATGCAGCCGTAGAATAACAGTGATACTGCGTGACTGACCTCAGAGCAGGACTTTGTTGGGTGTAAGTGCATTTGCTATTTACAATATTAATAATATCTTTATTTATGTAGCACTTCTCAAAACAAAGTGCTTCACAAATAATAAATAACACAAAATACATTCATAAAAGAATAAAAGACCCTGTCAGATAGAGCCCAAAAACATTTACCATCAAATGTGAGAATGTCTTGTTAAGATTTACTGATAGTGGCTTTTAAAATGGATTCATATTGTATATTCATCAGTATTCCAGAACTAAATCCCAAATTAAATCCAATGCAGACTATGAGTTGGGTAAATATTTGATTGTGTTTTGCTGGGTAAAGTTGATTACTCATCTCTAGTACCACAGCTCTAATCATCTCATCGCCATCCTAATGTTTAATCATAATTTGTGTGTTGAGCAGACCCGTTTGTACCGAGTGCATGTTTACCTAATCCCAGGTAGTAGAAAGGGAAGTGTGCGAGGTGAGTGGAGTACTCCGGCAGGACGAGCAGACCCCCCGGCAGCGAGTTCCACATGTACTTATTCCTCGATATGTGAGAGAACACGCGGTCCTTAATGATCTGGGAAGAGACACACAAAAGAAATGGCAGTGGTTGGACATGAGCTGCGATGTGAGAAGCAGAGAGAGGCAAATTTATTTAAAAGCTGGAAGATCTCTCGGAGTCTCGGAGCTTCATGCAAACACCACTGTGCCACAGACACCAGTCCTGCCACACACGTGTGTGCATATTAAAGCTAATGTTCTGTGCACTTCCCATTCTACGTCAACAGGAGGTGTCCACGCAGCAGCGACCCTCTGGAGTCCTCTGCCTCACTGACCTCAGGCTGACTGCACAGCTGGCTCCCGAAGGAAAGAGGTTCCCCTCTGCATGCTGTATGTATATAAGCAGCTTATCACCAACCTCCAGAACCTCTCCTTTATTATCTCTAGCATAAATTCCCAGTGGCAAATACACCAGGGCCTGCCAGACTTGCCTTTAGAAACCTAAGAGTGCAAAGCCTTAACACTCGCTGTGTGATTTCCTCAGATTTCTGTTAAATCGGTTGTTTTGCCACATTTTTATGTGCTAAAATTGACATTGGCAGCGTATGTGTGTGTAAAAAAACCAACAGAGGGTTATTTCCTTTCATGCCTCATCTAACCTGGGGGTTAACCTTCAAATGACTTTCTCTTAGCCGCAGCAAATACCTTTGAAGCACATTTCTTAAAAGAAAAAAAAGGAAAATGAAGGAGAAAGATACTGTGTGAGCTACGCTGGACGCACAAAATAATCCAAACACTTCTCCGTCTCGTCTGTAAATTAAAATGACTCTTTCAAAGCCTGAACTTCTTCTGAACTTCTGTAGCGTTGAAAACATTTCTCTCCGTCTGATGATGCCGAGCACCGAGGTACAAAGTGGCAGGTTGAGACTGATATTTGCGATGTAATGATATATCATCTCTATACATTAGGGGATTTCTCCGAGACTGGAGGCAGATCGGATGTGCGCTGCTTTGAAAATGTTCAGCAGACCCTCAGTGCGACACAAAGCCGAGATACTAAAAGAGTTGAAAATATAGAGCGCGGGCCAGGATCCAACCCCGTAATCATAACGATAGAAGGTTGGTTTGACTCAGATGTGAGGACTCTGTTGGAAAGGCTCTCTGAGGGCTGATGATAGCACACAGGCTGTAAACTGCAGAGAGGTAGCAGCCGTGGCTGTGTGCTCAACAGAAAACCTGTGTTTATAGCAGTGGCTTTTTTGTGTGTAGATGTTTTCACTGGAAAGGGAAGGGTGCTGCATATTTCTGAGCAGAATTGTATGGTAGCAGAAATGCTGAGAGCTGTAAAATATTCCAATTGGGTTTCTGGTCCATGCTCGGTAGCCAAAAGCGACATTGCCTTTAGTTTGGGGGGGGGGGGGCGGCTGGTGCTGGTGATGAAAGCTTAGGTTTGGCTGCATGAGTGTGTGAAGGTTTGACTTCAGCATTTAAGAAAGCTTTATTTCTGCAGCAAGATTCATTCCAAAGATGTTTTTTCCTGTGAGTTCCGTCTTTATGACCAGTTTTAAACCGTCTTAAAGCTGCTGACCTCAGTGTGAACAGAGCGTTTGAAATAATAGAACGAGTCGTGTATAGTTCATCTCCCTCCTTTGTTCAAGTATAAACTGCTCAACGAGAGAGCAGCAGTTTTTAAGAAAGGAATCGACGGTACTGGAAACAATCAGACGATATCCTCAATGCTTTATCGTCTTTTTGACTCTCGACGTGACCATAGTTAATACAATGAACCTCATGTTGTATTGAAGAGGACTTGAAACTACAGATTAAGAACATAAACTCCTATATATATAAATAAAGTCAGAGGTAGAGTCGTTTCCTCGTAGTCACACTCCGCTGGTTATTTGAATACAGAGAAGACTCTGAACTATATAATGTGAACATGGCCCCCGCACTTCCCCCGAACAATATCTTTTGAAAAACGAATTGTGCCGTATCACCCTGCGGTGCGACCGAGCCTTTACGCTTGGTGTGTGGAAGCTGACCTCCAGCGTGGTGAGGACGATCTTGTCCACGGAGGAGAAGTAAGCTTCCCACAGCATCTGCGTCCTCTGCCGGAGGGCCAGGACTCGCTCGTTCCCAACCGCTCTCACTGTGGAGGGCACCTAAAGAGAAAGGAAGGGGGGGGGGGATTCAGACACGGAAATGAGAAAGAAGAAAGAAGAAGAGCCGGAGAGTTTTACTTGGATTAAAGCGAGACATGAAAAGAGAGAAAGAGGAGAAATGGCATTTAAGTGATCAAAACTGCATAAATCCAACTGAGTGGATGTTTAATCTCAGCCCCTAAGAAAACATTTAACATGGAGCTGTTGTTCACATAATTAGACCTTAATTAGAAAGGACTTTATCTGGGGTTTTCGAGTAAATCACCAAAATTGATTTCATCACTTTGAGAGTAAAGCTCGGCGGCTCAATCCAAGTGGATGAAAGTCACGTTGAACCGAGGAAAGTGGGAGCGTTTGACTCCTTTAAATTCTTTAGTCTTCACGCAGCCAACGCACTTACAGATTTGCAGAACAGTAGTAAAAGGAGACGACAGGCCGCTAAACCTTTTTCCTGTAGTTTTTAAATTCTCGCCTTGTTCTGTCAGACTCTCTGTTTCTCTTCAGACACCTCCCTTCATCTGCGTTTCACAACTTCAACTTCTCTTTTTTCACTATCCTTCCCCCCTTTTTCCTTCTTCCCCTGAAGTGCACATGGAGGACGGCTTCCCTGGAGTCGTCCTCTGTTCCTCTGACGTGTCCTCCCACACTCACTCTCATTAACCTCAGATCACAGACTGTGTGAATATTTCTTGTGCATGTGAGTCTGAGCTCTCGGAGCCCGCTCCTGTTCATTAGCTGAATGTCAGTTCATGTCTGCTATTGGTGGAGATCGAAGTGAATCAATGCAGAGGAGACATGATGTAATTTGTGCGAGGGGAGAGAGATAAGGGATGTAGCTGAGAGTGAGCCGGCTTTACTCGCTCATTGTGTGTATTTGTGCTCGTCTGTGTGAGAAGAGACGGACACAGAGGACGGCTGATTTTCAACTGAAGCTGGATTAAGGCTTCTATTTGATCTCACAGGGCCTCAACCTGTAACCACGCTGTTTGATACAGGTAATGCTTTGTAGCCTTGCGTGGTGGATGTTTCCCAGTGAACATGATTACATTTAAACCCAGTGAACCTCTTTGTTTAGCTACGATGTAAACAGGGATATATTGGCCTTGAATCCGAAAATAACCACACGAAGCAGGAAACTGCAAAAACTCAGTATTTTATCCGTCTCTTGTTTTGACTTCTGAAAAATAGAAAAGAGGGAATTCTGGTTTGAGAACGAGCCGCAGCGCTGAGCATTTACAGCCACAGCTTGGGTGTTTCTAAAGCAGCGTTTTCACACCCACCATCTTTATTCCAGACCTTCACACAAAATAATGGATGTGAAGCGAGAAGCTGATGCTGGTAGTAAAACCATGATGATATCACAGAAAAAAACTAAATGAACCAAGTCATTCATTGTCTCCACTCAAATGGAATAACTACTATCACGTCAACTCAATTATAGAGTTTATGGTTAAACTCTGAAACATCAAGCCTAAATTATATATCTTTGTCATAACGACATAACAACATCAACAACATTAAACCATTTTTGAAATATATATATATCCCCCGGGTATAAAACAAGAGGTTTAAACAAGCATCAAACAGGCGTGAGTAGCCTTAGCTGGTGTTTACAAATGTTGGACTGGATTTGCCGGACAACTGTGCACGTGTGTATGATTGTGTGTCTCAGCGCTGAGTCGTGTTACCTGCAGCAGTAATCTCTCGTCTCCCTCGATAACGGCCTGGTTCCACTGTATGATGTCTGAAAACGGCAGCTCCCAACCGTTACTCAGCAACACGGGGATACACGCCGCCTGAACACACACACACACACACACACACACATGTGAGAATTTAGGGAGTCTGACAGAGACACTGATGGTGATATACCAACTGATGTGTGTAGAACAAAGGGGGGAAAAAAATCCATGTACATCTCTTGTGCTTTGATCAGCTGCAGTTTTGACTGGGCTCCTTCCAGCTCAGCTCCTCTTTGGCAATTAAACACAACAGTACAAACCACAACTGCATGAAAATAATACAATCTGTGTGAGCTCAGTCCCAGCTGCTTGGCACTGTGATATCACAAGTAATATGATCAATGCTCTTGTGTGCAGACGACTGTGTGTGCGTGTGCAACATCCCTATAGGGTAGCTGGAATGAGCAATACCTCCTATCTGTCCTTTCCCAGGATTCCCCGGGGGGTTTGTCAAAGACTGTCACTCAGATACATGCGTACACAGATGTGGCTGACAGGTGCTGACTCCGTGTACTAATTAGGTGCAGCTACAGAGGGACACATGCAGGGAGGCAGGTAAAGTGAGGGGAAGGAGCGCAGGATGCAGGGATGAGAGGAGAGTAAGAAGGAGCTCCTCTGTATGTGGAGACATCATGCTTTATTGAAGTTGATTTTTGATGTTGCCTTATCCCCTCACTCGCTGACAGCTTTTTGATGTTGTTCCACATTTTCTGCTTTTCCGAGGCCTCCCTTGGTCTCCCTCCTCTCTGTACGTCTATCACTTTTTCCCTCTGTACTCCCCTTTTCCATTTCTCTCCGCCGCGCTCTCATCCCATCCTGCTCTCGTCCTCTTTTCGACTTGTGGTCTGGACTGTTGATGTGTCTGGGTGTTACTTTTTTTTTTTCTAATTAAACCACCAGAGAGCAGCAGCAGCCAAAATGGGGGAGATCAAACATTCTCCGGTGGCCCCGTCCATGCTCCTGCATTTCATCTGAGAACAGACCTGCTGAAGGACACTCGAGCTAATAGGAGGACTTGTATGTGCGTGCGTGCGCATGTGTCCGTGTCGGCCTGAGGTTAGAACAAGGTCACACGAAGACTCTCGGAGTGATAATCCAATGCCTCTAAATTTGAAATGCAGCCCAAGGCCTTGCCTGAGTCTCATTCCCCAGAGGTGAGGCACTCTGAGGGTGAGTTTCAAACATTTCAAGCGCCCTGCTGCCTGGAGGTAGGGTAGGGTAGGGTAATATGAAAGCCTGTGTGCTCTGTAGTTTTTTTGTGGGGGGTGTTGTTTGCATTGGGAGGTGAAAAGGGGAGATTTTGGGCAAACGTTTATGAGGAGGAGAGGAAATGTGTCTCTGTGTATATTGGAAGACTGGCACTAAGGTAGCCACCACGCTGGGAAGTGCCAGTTCTTTTGTGGGCTTGGCTGGCATCAAAAAACAAAAACCCCATATATGATCGAAAAGAGGCTTGAATGGAGTAAAAAAAAAAAAAGAGAGGTGGAAGCAGGGAGCGAGAGAGAGGGTGAAAAAAGAGAGGAGACAGGAGGAGAACGGGACCATGACTCCATGCCTGCTGCCAAGCCAAGTGGGTTGTGTGTGGATTTGTCCATTCAGCAGACATCGGCGGTGGGGCAGACTGCCACTTGTGTGGATGCTTCCGGAACGCGCACACACACACACACACACACACACACACACACACACACACACACACACACACACACACACACACACACACGCACACGCAGCCCTGGAGAGCAGTGCGGCCAGGGAACCCTGTAGCAGCCGGGGAGTTCAGTGTTCTGCAAATCTAAAAACAGCCACTACTGCTTCCTGCACTGGTGTGAGGCTGTCGACTTGGGTGGTGGCGAGAGAGAGAGAAGTACAGACTGACGGCTTTAAACTGTTTAAACTCTCGCTCCGCCGCCTGCGGTCTCGTCATCGTTTGTGCACAATTCACTGATGGAGTCAAACTAATGATTCCAGCGTTTGTGCCTCAAGTGTGTGTGTGTGTGTGTGTGTGTGTGTGTGGCTCCACGTAGACGTTAATGGACCCGTTTCAGTTTAAAAGGCCTCGCTCACAGCAAATAAAGCCTTTATGGCGAGATCTGCGCTCAACACAATGATCCTGGGAAAACACTTGCAGATGTGACCATTAAGGTGTCGATAACCAGTAGACTAATATATATAAACATTCTGCATCCTGTGAACTTCCATGCTGATTTAACTGAGTATAAACTGGATCTAGGTGGAATACGCCTGTTTCGTGTGGAAGTGCAGTTTACAGTGTTGTGCAGAGGGAAATGCTGCAGCTATTGTTTTTGTGTGATTGCTGTGTTGGGAGGAAGCATGTCGAGGTTAGCTGGAGACACAGTCCAGCGTTCTCATGCAGGATTAATGCAGTTTGTCAATGCAGAGAAAAGCAAACTGTTGATGGGGCATTTTCTATAGTGGGGTTCAAATGTCTGAGACCATGTATATTTACCTGTAGTGACTCCAGGAAGCGGAAGGAGCCCAGGCGTCGACCTCGAGGCACCAAACAGAAGGTGGAGTTGTGGAGGAGCTCCTGGTAATCAAACCTGAAAAAGAGCAGAGTAATAATTCATTAACATACACTATATATATTGTTTTAAAAGGACGCAGCAAAGCATTTATAAAGGAAAAAAAAAAGGTTTAAAGGTGAACACTCAATGAAAAAGGACACAGAATCCCAGCGTCACAACGTATCTGGTGATTGATTGTGAAGAAAGAAATATAAATGTGGAGCCAAGAGTCCTAATCAGAGATAAGTTGGACTTTTAAAAAGTCTATAACTGCATGAAAATGTGTCAGATAGTCAGATCTGAGTATATTTCCAATGCAACTCTTAAAATAAGGAAATGTGAACAATCGATTAAAATGACCAAACGACTGCACACGTATCTGATAATCAGCCTCGAGCGTGGCAACGCACACTCCCTCTGATACGTGATATTCAGCTGCTGTCACACATAAAACAGGATTTGTTCGGCTTTTCATTGCTGATATTTACTCATAACGGCTCAGATTATGTGCCGTCATAAATCTTCCCAATTTTTTTCCCCCCCTCCACTCGCATGTTGGCACAACTACAGACAGCTACTGTACTTTGTAAAATATATCCATCACTGAGCGCATGAGTAAATATGCCTTAATCCCAGTTCTCTACTGATATGTGTTGTAAACAAGACAGTGTGAACTTGTGCCAAAGTAAGAAAGTGCCCTTCTCCCCCCGTAGGCTGCACCACTTCATTCTCATGTTTCATACTTGCGTCGTGTAAATAAATTTTTTTAAAAAAAAGCAGAGTGGAAACCTCTGAGTCAATGCTCTCCTTCATCCGCTGAGTGGAACAGCAGCGGACGAGTGGTGTAACGGCCTCGTGGTAAAGAGGAGTAAACAGATTAGGAAACAAACAGCCTCTTATGGGAGAGTTCAACTTTCCCCCTCTCGCTTGTTCCTCCTCATCTCATCATTCCACCCCGCTTCTCGCTGTAGGTCTTACTCCGCTCCCCTCCTCGCCCTCCTCCTCAGCCCCCCTGCGGTTTTTTCTCCATGCAGCCCTCCGCTTGTTTATTTGCAGAAGGAACGTCAGAGTGAAATACGCCTGCCATTAATCTTCTCAGTCATTTATTTAACCCTCCGTGAGTGATGAGACGCAGGCCTCTCTCCTGCTCCCTGCATGAGAAAATTAGGATTTCACTGCTGATGTTGGCATTAATTAACACCCCTACACTCTGGACGTCCAGAACTGAATGCTTGTCACTGTGCGAAAGTGCATTCAATATAAATGTGTCAAAACACATGAATGCAAGCACAGACGCTGGCATCAGTTGGCAGAAAGGCAGCCCTGTTCAGGACATTAGCTATGGATCTGCTGTGATATTCCTCCACCTGTTGATAGAGCTTTGCCATCGCTGCTGCTGCTGCTGTACATGTGTGCGTGGGCGGGTGATGGATCATCTGCAGCAGTTTAAATCTGCAGCGTGGAGCGTTGATGTACATCTCAAAATTAATCTCCAGGCGAAAAATATCCATCTTGACTGTTTGCAGATTTGCACGACGTATTCCCGAGGGATTTTTGTTTCCAAATGTTGATCTGAGCTCAGGGTCAACACTTGGCGTTTCGATATGCGTTTCGATGGCTTCTGCAAAGACGTACAACTCCTCTGTGGATTCATGTTTGAAAGAGAGTGTGTGTGACTGAGTGTGTGTTGCTTTCAAAAGTAAATATATTTACTTCTCCTGCAGTATATTGTGTGTGGGAAGAGAATATATTAGTATCTTCCCGGTTATGTGTCTGTGTGTATGCATGTGTGTAGGTTGTACATGTTAATGTATGTTAGCATGTGTCGTGCATAATGTTGAACAGTGGGGCTCTGCATGAAGTGAGTCGTCTCGTCTGAACCACTTTTGTCTCTGGGCCTGCTGTTTGTGTGCGCTTGATAATGCAAAACTGCAAGTCAGCTTGTGCATGAGGTGGTGTGTGTGTGTGTCTGTGAGTGTGTGTGTGCTTGCATGTGAGAGCGCCTGTCTGCAGATCCAGCAGTCTGCTGGCTGCTCTGCCTGCTGCTGTTCTTTAATGAGGGATTGTACTTACAGTAAATGCAGGGAACAAATAAATCATTTAACAGCACTTTGTCTCTAACAACAAACGACTGGGCCTGCTGCTGCTGCTGCGTCTCTCCTTCACTCTCCTCCGTGCTCCCTCCCTCTCTCCCTCTCTCCCTCTTTTCTTCCCCTCTGCCCTTTGTCTCAGCGTTTTTCCTTTGAGTCTGCAGGTTTTTGTTTGTGTGCTCTGTCACACTGAGAAAACAAAAGTTGCAGGGTAGTTGCGGTTTGTGTGTGCGTTCGAATATGTCCTGGATTATTGCACAACGGCAAATCTCCTGGTCCGTGTTCGAATGTGTGTCTGCGTATTAAAAGGTTGCTTCGCACACATCAGAGCTGAAACAACTGGCAGTTGATCAAGTAGATGATGGAGAGAAAAATTGAAAACAGAAACAATTTTAATAATTGATTTCAGTCAGTTTTCAAGAGCACTAGACTCCTTCTTCCTGCCTCCCTGCTTTTTCTTTTTCTATTATTAAGTAAATATTTTTTGCTTCAGACAAAACAAAGATTCCAGAGGCTCTACAAACATTAGGAGTATATAGATTTTCCAAAAAAGATCATCTCTTGCAGTGAGCCCCAGCCAACCATTCTTTCTGTCGACTCTCTTCTAGCTATTCAGACCATGTTGGTTTCGTTTCTCGAGGTTTTGAAGTGTCCACAGCATCTCTTTGTCTTTTTCTGTTCAGCTCTCTGCAGGACACTTTTGTCCAAAGTGACAAACTCACTGATGAAAGACAGAAGAAAGACTATTATGTATGTTGTTATATTCTAAAGTTTCTGCGAAATCCAAAGAGAAATACTTCATATTACACAATATCCACACAAATACCAGATGAATGAAGACACATCTCATCATGTTGATGGAAATTCCCATAAAGACTCGTAATTTAAGCAGCGTGAGCCTCATACTCTCGAGATATTAAACAAAATACAGTGGGTAGTTTATATATCATCTCATTGAATATACAGTATTATCATATATCACAAATACAAACAAGAAGAAAGTGAAAAAATATACAGAGTGCCTGTTCCACCTCTAAAAAAAGAGCATTTGCATCGTGCGTGTGACAAATGCGACAAATATCTGAGTCAGTGTGTATCTGCGGTTGGGGGTTAGCTGGTGGCGAGAACATGCGAAGAGACAGTGACTCATGCATTAATGTGTATGTGATTGCACGCATGTCGTTTCGTATTGTGCACGACGAGGAATGTAGTGCGTGCTGGACCCCCTGCATGTTAATGTGGGAAAGCATGCATACAATATGTGTAATGTACCCGCATGGACCTGCACTTACATTATAACGCCAGAGAGGGGGGAGGGGAGGGGAGGGGAGGGGGGAGCGCTGGGTGGAAGTTTGGCACGATTGTTATCTGGAAGCCCTCGTTGTGAACGAACTCAGATCTGTGTGTGGAGGTGGATTACATTACACAGTTGATATACTAGTACATTGTTGTTGTGTATGAATACTGTGGATACATGAGGGTAAACATGCAGCTATAAGGGTGTTTACTATTCTACTGAAACATGAAAACCAATCGAGGGGGAGTTTCTTGGCGTCTTGTTCTCGGGAGTGATGGGAAGATGGAGCGGGATCGATGCAGGAGTGGAGTGGGGGGGGGGGCATTGCACCAGACTGTTCCTGTGCGGACTGAGCTGCAAGGAAAAGCTTTTCAATGTAGCAGTCAAGCTACGTTTCGAACCCAACCTGCGGTCCCGAGCTCCGGAGGAGGACGAGGTTGCAGATACGAGCGGCCTCAATGAGTTTTCTCTGCATGAGGAGCCAGTGGTCGGGCGTTTAATATAGGACGGAGGTTTTTCTGGGCAGACCCCACTCAGGGCGTAGATCACAGAGGTTAGACCCAGAGCTCACTGGAGGGACTGTGTGTCCTGTCTGGCCTGGGGAGTTTCCTGATTGTTTATACGCATTCATTTGTGTTAATGTGTACGTATGGCTCCGCCCCACCTCACTGTTCCAGGAAGTCAGTTAAATATTAAACATCTAATATTGGTTGTTATGACACACACACACACACACACACACACACACACACACACACACACACACACACACACACACACATCGATTTAGGCCTCTGGTCTTTTCTCATATTTTTGTCTCAGACAGACACAGGATTTTCTCACACCCACCCAATGTTTCTCTCTCTCTCTCTCAGACACACACACACACACACACACACACACACACACACACACACAGTGCACAGCGGTCTCTCTTCATGCATTGTGTATCCGTGTGATACCCCTATCATCAAAGCTATGTTTACTAAGACGGCACCACTCTGAGTCGCCTACAGTGTCTGTTTGTGTGAGCGTGTGTGTGTTTTGCGTTTGTCTGATAAGCAAATCTGCTTCTCCTCAGCAGCGTCCCCCCCCCTGATCGCTTTCCTTCACACAAACACCCGTCAGCTCCGTCCCTCCCCGACTCCCCGTCCTCCCTGTTACAGTTTCTCTCACCCTTCATTTTGTCTGGACCATGATTTTAGGTTTTTACGTCCAATAAACACGACTGCTCCTCACCCGCGGTCTCCACCTCTGTCCCTGCTGCCTTCATGTGACTCGGACAGAGAGCAGAATAATGTCTGGGTCGAGCAGCAGGAGGCTGGACAGAAATTCCACCTTGGAAAATCACGTATTTTTGTTTACGGCACATTGACACCGATGTGGCCCAAAGCTCTGAAAATCTTGATGTCCGTCCAGGCTGATAAATTTGTCTCCTACAAACATGACACCTCTTTTTCATCCTGAGACATCCGTCCATTGCGTGTTAGAAGTGTCGTCAACAAGCCCACTTGGCTCGCTCGGACATTTCCTGGGAATTTTGACTCTGGGACATAGAGGAAAAGTTCCCTCTGGAACATGTGGTGTTTGGTGCATGTCTGAGCATCTTCCCTGTTTAACCAATATTGACTGAGTGAGCATGTGGAGGGAAGCGGGGGTGGTGCGGAGGCTCCTTGATTGACAGCGGCTTCTGCTCAGTTGATCGCCACGCTGACTTCCTGTAAAAGGTCAGATGTCAATAGAGCATGAGGGCGTTCAAGCATCTTTGTGTGTGAACTGTGTGTTTGACCTAAGTTATGGATTAGCCGCCACAGCGCTAACAGGCTGCCATCGATACTCTGTACACCAACATGACCTGAAGTGTTCTGATAATGTCAACGCACACACGCACAATATAAATTGCTATAAACCAGAACACACTGTTGCTCCATCACTCACTGAGAAATATAAGGAGGCAGTTTTAAATATCATGAGTTGGGATCTATAAATGTTTACAACTTTTACATTTGTTTGCTATTAAACTTATGAATAAAGGGGGAAAAAAAGAACAAGAATAAAACGGAGCACTGAAGCAGGTTACATTAGCTGATTGCTTCAAGCTGTTATTTCATACTTCACACTGAGTAGTTTATTCATTCATTTGCTTTTTATTTTTAACATTTTTTTTCATTAGCAGCCTCATTCGTGCGTTCCTCCACCACCAACTTGAGCTGAGAGTGTGGTTGTAACTAAGATTTCAGATTCACTTACTAAACTGCGCTGAGTTCGACCAGTGGAATTTTCATGGTTCAGATTCTCAGTCGAAGAGCAGAGCATTAATCGCCGTTAATGGGAAATTACTTGACACAGAGGAATGGGTAGCTTGTAAGAAAAAGATGGACATTCTAGAGATATGTAGAACAAATAAATGAAAAAGATTCTTTAAAGCTGCCATGCCTATGATTTCCATATGTGTTTTTTTTCCTGGAGCTGATAGACTTGATTTTGAGTTTGTGCTACTGCGAAAAAACTGATGTCGCAAGAGCTAAACCGCGAATTACTCCTTCAAAATACAAGTAAAAAGTATTTCATTTTTGTATTTAAGAGCTTCTCATTCTTAAAATTTTCACTTTCACTCACAAGAATAAAACTAAAATAGATGCAAAAGTTATCCTTTCTTTTACCCAAAGGTTAAGTTTGGAATAATATAACTTACGAGCTTCTTAAATCTACCTTTATGTTCCTGGGATTGAGCTGATGCTGTTCCAGAGCTACTGAGAATAAGCCGTCACTGCTGTATTACAACTGTATGATAGCGAGGTAGCATTGTGAAAACGTCTCTGCATGCTTCCTCCTCGGCTGTAAAATAAAATGCTTCACTGTGGCTGTGTGACTGCAGCTGCCAACGCACTGGAGGGTGTCAGCCTATGAGATGCATTGAGGTGGCAGGAGGGCAAAGAATATTTGAGAGGGTGAGGAGGGGGGGGGGGGAAAGACAGAAATGGAAGATGAGAAACACGGAGATGGGGAGAAATCCGTATGTGGCCAGCTGCTGCAGCCTCTGGGATTCAGGAGGAGAGAGAGAGAGAGACGCAGAACTGCAGCTCTGTCTGCAGGCAATGGGTCAGGAAAGAAATGAATACTG